CTTTTCTCCCCACAATGGTCGACCCAATAATTTTTTTTTCGTCAGCAAATATCGTCATACACTGACAGACTGTTTTGCTGCATCGCAGCTCATCAGTGTGACTAGACATCAGATCACTTCAAGCCGGGACCGGAACCCGACCGATATGGCACCAGTTGGAGATTCTAAACCCTAAGCAAAGAGAAAGGCGAATTTTTGTGTATTTATGGTTTTATAAACACACCTGTGACCTAGAGAACTCAATCCGACTCTCTCTCTCTCTCTCTCTCTCTCTCTATATATATATATATATATATATATATATATATATGTGTGTGTGTGTGTGTGTGTGTGTGTGTATTCAATAGGCAAGTTTGGGTGAAGCCAAAACATATGAGAAATGTTAACCATACAAACGGCTAAACACAATAAATATATTTAACCATTAATGAAAAGACGACTCCACATGCAGAGGGATGAAGAGCAATTAGCAAATGACTCGTGAATTCGCAGCAATCGAAAATGACAAAAGAAATTCAAATCATACCTATAAAGTAAGTACCTCCAGTCAATTTTTCGATACCTAATGTTTAAAATGAATTTTTAAAATGAAAATGCATTCTTAAAGATTTTATTTTAGCTTTAATTGAAAGCTAAAGGATTAAATTTATTATTTCCAGTAACTAAAATATTCTGTTGTATTTCAGATAGAAATTATATAGATTGTAATGTCAAATATATGCTCGATTTTTTTTAATTTCTTAAAAGCGGTCATTTTCTTAAATTTTAAGAAATTTGTAAACAAAAAAATTTTCGATTTTAAACTTCTTCCTAAAATAATTTATATATTTTTGACACGTTATTTGAGTAAAATTAAAAAAATTAAAGTTTAATTAATCTGATTTGAAACAAACATTACTTACTTATAGCATAAAAAATTGTATCCTAACATTTCTTGATGTGTCTGAATTTTCCCGTGACTTTATTCACGTTATCGATGTTATTGAGAAGTTAAGAGATGATGACAGCTACTATGAATAACCAAAATTTATATAATTTTACGAAATGTAAGCGAACTAATTTTTTTTGGTTTTTAACTAGTAATTTTTAAAATATTAACATTTTTCAGCAATTATGTAATATTTATTTTTTATTTAATACTTTTTTTTAGTCTGGGTTTTGTTTCTTAGGTTCTTAATCTTTTTATCTTATTTAATAATTTACTAACTTAAACAAAAAATACTTCAATGAAATATGACCCAAACTAAAATAAATACCCAAAATAAAAAAAATTAGTAAAAAAATAATTAACAAAAATTAAAACTAACTTTGAAAGAACTTTTTGCAAACACGTTAACGATGTGAAACAGAACTGGATATTGAAAGGAAATAATTGCAGTGCCTCAGACGACAATCAAATCACGTGACCTTTTTAAGGATTATGGATAGATTCCCCATAGATAGAAATTAGGAAAGTTTTTTCACTAAAAATTATTTTTCAAATTATTTTTTAAATATTCGGGTACAAACGACTGTTATGAGCTTTACAAATTTCGATTCGTAAATTTACTTTTCACTTAACCATATTACCAAATTGCATGTTTAAAAGCAATGAAGAATTTTAAACGATTTTTGAAGTATTAATATCATAAATAAACTTTTTAAAGAATGAAAAAAGTTTTATAAAAATACATTATTCATCGAAAAATTTTTTTATTTCTTCAGACAATAATGTCCTTAATCTAACTTATTTACGAAAGCAAGTAAAAGCTTTTCTAATTAAATGTCATAGATTTTTACATTTTTTTTTTACAATTCAGAGCAGATTTTCGATGAAACCAGTAACTGTTTTACAAAAAGAATCTGGTGATTTACTTTCTCTAAAGAGTCTTGTTTTTAACTAATAAAAAAATCACACTCTTAAAAATTTTATTTCTCGAAATTTCATGAAAATATGTAAGGGGATGGAAATATATAAAAAAAAAATTACCAAGATATTCTAAAACAAAAATTTAAAAAATAATTTCATTCATTTCTGAATATTTCCTGAAAATTATTTGACAATTATTTGAATTTTTCAAGAATTTCCAAATCAACGTGTTTTCCTCGGCAAAAAGCGCAAAATAAAGCAAACCTTTTTTCTCTTTTAGAACGATGTCGTAAAAAAAAAAAAAAGATTTTTAACCAAGATTTTTAACTAAAAATTTCAACGTGCTAGAAAGGAGTAAAAAATCTCAAAACATAATTAAAAAATACTTTGGTCTCTCCTCTTAATAATAACATAAATATTTTGATGACAAACCTTTGTTTTCGTTGAGTTATGGGCCTTTTTTCATCATGCTATGCCGGTTTTTTACGCGACCTAGTGGAGGTACCTACTATAAAGAAGCTCTTTAATAATGAATGATGTAAGATGAACGACAATTTATTTTCATATTCTCCCCAGAAACAAGACTATAGCCTGGGGCTTGGAAAAATTAAATTATAAACCTTAAACAAAGCATATTCGTTGGTATCCAAGCCTACGTAATTTAAGAATTACGATCCATACGCCCATACAGCCATATACGCACATATGCATTTATATATATATATATATGTGTGTGTGTGTCTATGTGTGCTTGTCTGTGCTTGTGTATGTGTGCGTGTTTGTGTAAGATAGAGTGATTATGGAAAAGAATGAATGCTGAAAATATCGACTTCCCAAAATATTCTGATGTTTAATCATTGAAATGAGTTATTAAGTCGCGCACAAAACACTGCAGTACTTTCTCCTATAGGTATCTATATAACTATATATAGACATATATGCATACGCGCACACACACACTTACACACACACTTACACACACACTTACACACACACACACACACACACACATATATATATATATATATATATATATATATATATATATATATATATATATAATGTCAACGGCGTACTTGAACACAAATTTTGTCATATATTCTTCTACATATGGTAAATGAATCGTAGATCATTAAAAATGTAATTCGGTTGTTCTCTGTCTCTCTCTCTCGATATATATATATATATATATATATATATATAATGTTACTCTCTTTTCCCTTTTCAGAGATTTCATTTTCCTTCCGTTGTACTGTTTAATTTGTTTTAATCCGTTTTTTTTTTAACTTTTTAATTCTATTCTTTTTCATGGCGTCTTTTCTTGTTCTCTTTATTAAATCTGTCACATCTACTGCCAGTTAATTTCATGCAACACTGATAAAAGATGATTTACGGTCACCTTTAGAGACCAAAATAGGTAAAAGTATTTTTTTCACTTTATTACGCACAATGATTCTTAAAGACAACTCAACTGTACAAATGCACACAAAACCGCTCCACCGCTGTCCTGATATCTTTCTGCCTATATCTGTGTAAGAAGTGACACATCTTCAGTTCAGCTGTTCAAGAGTGCTGTTAACCTCATTAATGGAGAGATGTAGGAGTCTGATTCCGTCAGAAATGATCAATTGCCTCTTCATATGGCGATTGCTTTTTTGGACGAGCAAAGAATCACAATATATACACATACATGCATATTACATATGTTTTATTACTTTAAACGTTATTTTTGTGGAGACATGTATCTGAAATAGACGCCCTCTATCGTCTGCGCTCTCAAGAAATCGAAATAAAGAAAGTTTGTATTCTCTGGCAGGGTTCGACCCAGCGTCCCCTTTGTAGGAGAAACCACCAGAAATAACGTTTTAAGTAATAAAAGTGTTGGATTAAAAATTAATTGAATATTTTTTTTAGAAAAAATATATATATCGTATTACTATTAACCGTATATTTCCTGGGTATACGTATTTGAGTTGATATACGAGTTTGGGGGCTTTTTTTTTAAAAAAATTATATTAAACAGTGAAATTGATAACAACCGGACCATAGCGGGGTCCGAAAGTCTTATCACCCTGACCCTCTCTTCCAAACTTTAGGGGCTCGTTTCAAACATCTGAAATAGAAAAATTATATTATATATATGGGTGACAAGTGTTTCAGACCACCGGATAAATTGAGATGTCCGACTAATGAAAATTCGCGCCTCCGACTGAATCGAACATCAAGAAAATCAGAGAGAACAATTTTTATTTAGTAGAACTTTCACTTTTAAACAAAATTTTAAAAAATGGGGACAGCAACTCAAATTCATGTACCCATTAAAACTGCGTTTATAGTAATAAAATATCAGTCAGTTATGTGCCATGCGTGATACACGCTTAGGCGATCATGTATATTTCGATACATGACTGACGAGGCAGATTTTTTTTCTGCTTTTTTCAGATCTACCTCGTCAGTCATGTATCGAATGACTGACGAGGCAGTTTTTTTTTCCCGCGGTAGGTTGCTATTTCTTTCTACGGTAGACCAGTTGCCATCCAAAGGCTATAGAATCCGATCTGTCCTGCTATTTGCCCATAGATGGGGGTGAAAGAAGAGGATTCACACCTTTCCCAAGGGGTATTAGCACGTAAGTAAATGTAATGGATCTGACTGGAATTCGAACTTGGCTCTCCGATTCCTCAATCCGAGTCGCTATCCATTACTCCACCACCTTTTAAAAAGTCATGGCGGTACTGAAACTGAAGTTAGCAGATATAGATTCGTAGAAGGCCCAACGAGCAAGACGTGCTAAAGTTTTCCTCTCGGGGTTTCTCTCTGGACGAATTTGTAGAATTTGTGATGTGATTTGGCTAAAAAATGATTTTCCTGATAACAAAAAAAAAAAAAAAAGGATACAGTTTCGATTTCTGTTGGAAGAACACTTTTTCTTCAGTGGGACTTTTCAGTGTAGATCAGTTGTTATTTGACTGTTTAATCAAATAAAATAACTGGAATAGCAGGTCAAACCCGTGTAGCCACTAAAAATAGCATTTATATTAATATGAAATCATATCGGATCAAAAATACTTTTAAAAATACACCCATGTGCAAACATTTTATTAGTTTGCGTAATTAATGTTATAACAGTTGCAATTTTTGAATTTCACACAGTGTTGGTTATTTCCGTTACATCTACAGACACATAGATAGATAGATAGATAGATAGATAGATAGATAGATAGATAGAGTAATGATACAATATGGTAATCCATATGGAATTTCCAGGAGGATATAGATCCAGGGAGAGCTCTATGTCAAAAGACAGCGCAAAATTTTAATTAATAAAAGAATATCAAACATTTAAAAATCCTATAGGTAACAAGTTATTTTTATTTCATGAGAGCTAAAAAATACAGCAGCTCTCAATCAAGACCTACGAACAAATCGCAAATGAAATGTTCCATTCCGAGTTAAAAAACAAGATATTGCTATCTTCCATAGAGAGTATAGGAAAAGGTAGAAAGTGTTGACCTATTTTGGCATACTGACCTCAGTATGGCATTTGAGTATGGTGGAAGTTCTTAAAGTGTGAAGTTGAAACAATTCCATCTGTTTCTGTCAACGGGCAGAATTTTCAATTGTGACATATTTCATTCAACAAATTATTTGTAAATAATCTTAAAAGAGAACATTTTTAAAGATTTCGAAATTATCGAAAAAGTTTTCATAACCTTTTTATACAATTAACCAAGAAATTTAAATTAAAATACCTGAAAATTTGAATTAAATGGTTATTAATTATATTCAGAGAAACATATTTATATCTAAAGTATCTTACATGTATTTATTAATATTTAGCAGGATATGAATGTACTTTAAACTAAGGAAAAGTTAGAGCACGGTTAATTCCCTGTATTTCATTCAACTAATTCTGTAAATATTATTTAAAAGTGTCTGGTTCTGAACATTTTCAAAGTATAGGATTGGTGTATACGGAATAAATTCCAATAGCCAAAAAATACAATTCTTAAAAGAGTGCTCAATACAGAGTAGAGAAAATATAATTTATTCGAAAATTATAATATAAATATGTTATAAAATCACTACAAAAATAGTCTGGTGTCTTACCAAGTGATGGTGTTGAATGTAGAATAAAGAGTTTTAAAAGGTTCAAATCAACCAAACAACACTCGATAGAAGAAATGCTGTTACATATGCTGCAATGACCAATCAAAATATAAGTATATGAGAATTCAAAAAACTTGACAACGAAACTTGGTTATAATAATTAATGCTTTAATATAAAGGTTAGACTAAAATAAAAATCATTCTAACTAATTAATATTAAATTTTACTATAAAATTCAAATTTGAAATTACCAATTTAAAATTTTAAGTTTAATCTCTATTAAGTTTAAAATATAAAATTATTTAAAGAAACCGAGGAAAAATGCATGTGTTTTGTTATTTATTTTGTTTTAATTGAAAAGCCAAAAATTCAGTTAGAATAAACCTTAAAATCTAATGTTGAAGGTAAGCTTCGTTAAAACAGAAACATCTGAAGTGATGATAATAGCAGGGGAGAATGAGATCTTGCAAAAGACAATACATATATAATCAGATTATAATACACAAACAGGTAGACATATTTAGATGTATAAACACGCAAAAATACGAACGAAATAGGAAATAGATGCCCACAACCCTTAAAAAAACGACAACAATATATATATATATATATATATATATATATATATATATATATAATTTATTATTACGTTAGCATTTGACGATTTTTTTCTTTTCTTATTTTAATTATTTCAACCAAAGAAAGGCAATAAAGCCTCTAAAAACAAAATAGCTACTGAATGTGAAAACATGAATAAAAGAAAAACACTGTTAAAGTGCGAACACAATAATAGAAAAGGAATCAAGAATACAGTAGATAATCTTTGGCAATGCAATTTAATTTTTGAAGATCAAGGTTGACTGGAAAATAAGAAGCCAGAATGAGTTCCACAGGCAAGAGTGTGATAAAAGAAACTGTAAGCAAAGAATTTACAGTTATATCTAGCCAATTCAGCTGCAAACTAATGAGACCTTGTTGCCTTTCTAGTTCAATGCTTAAAAAAGATAAACATTTCAGTGCTTACCAAAGAAAGCACGTCAGAACAATTAGCATCAAGGTATTATTTTCAAAATACACAGGGATGCTACGTTACAGGTGGTGGAGAATTTGACTGAAGCTGAGATGCCAGGTCAGGACTAATAACATTGCAGATTTTTCTTTGGATTTTATCAAGAATCTCTAAATATGTAGCAGAAATGCCAGACCACATGTGACAGCAATAGTCATTGCATGGTAGAATGGTAGACTTACACATGTGCAACATAGATTCTGACAAAAAAAAAAAGTCTAGCACAACAGAGTGAAACAACTTTTCTAGATGCATACCTAGCAAGTGATTCGATATAACCTTTCCACTTCATGTCAGCAAAAAACGTTATTCTGACATGAAAGGCATGAGAAGAAATGGGGTGCTAAACATTTTTTATGCTTATCATTTTATACATTTAGATAATTACGAATCAATTTATATTTAAATATATATCATTATGCAGAAATCAAAAGGAAGTAATCAAAAGTACAAATTTAGTAGTGATTGAAATTCGGACATGATTACTTTATTGTATAATAGTTTTAAGAGAATAAGTTAAGTACAGGTTGGTTCGAAAGTCTTGTCACCTCTACATAATATATTTTTCTGTTGCAAAGCTCTGTGGGTTATTATCAAGGAGAGGGTTTCCAAAATAACCATCAGTTGAAGGAGGCCGTTGGGAGAGCCTTTACAACAATCGACAAAACACAGCTTCGTAAAATATCACATAGAACATGGCGCTGCATCATTTTCTGCAACGAACATGATGGTGTTCATATAGATATTTTTGGTGTGTGACAGTGTCAATGAAAGTGAATAAACCAAATCTAGTTGATTTGCTTTGTATTACTGCATTATTTGTTTTTCTATTGTTCTCACTACTTTTTGGGAGCAGTTGGCAAGACTTTCGAATCAACCAGTACGTTTACAATGATGTACAGAATACATATCTCGCAACTGTATAGTTTGTATGTTACAGTAAGTTTCTTTAAACATCATCTGTGTGCATGTACATGCTTTAGAAAAGAAGGTAAAAGAAGTTCACGTGAAATGATAGGTTAGAAATTGAATGAAAGCAGACGAAACCGAATGACAGAAAAAGTTGGGTAAATTCAAGGTTAAAACGGCATTTCACGCAACTCCAAAAGAAACCCAACCGATTTCTAATTTATTTTAATGAATGGATTACGGCTTTTTATAATAATTCAATGAAAGAAATAAAGGCTAAATTTTATTGGGAACAATTAGTCAACAAGAATTCTAACTGAATGAAAAATGCAAATGCAATATTTTCTGCGCAATTTTATTGGATATAAAAAAATCGATGTCGGAATTCCTAGTTGGAGGGAATTTCTTTTATCAGCTTTTACTTTAAACTCAGTGACATTTATTAGCAGATGAAAATTATTTTGTTCGCTAAAAATGTTCGAAATGGTGGAAAAATATAAAAGAGAATATTTGTTAGGTTATTCGGAAAATAATGTCTGTATATATACTTAACTGTGTTCTAATACATTATTAAAATAGTTATACAAAAATATATTACATATTCCTAATGAGTAAAATGTACACTTTTTAACTGTTTTATCAATGTCTTTCAGAATTTAATTTAAAGCATCATCTTGAACGTGGAAATAGAAGAGACACTTTTGCATCTTTTGCATGAATCAAAACTTGGTCATAATCCTTCTCAAAATGCTGTTAACATTAACAGAGCCTGAAATGCAGGATCTATTTGTGATCTAAGAGAACGGTGCTTGTTTCTGGAGTTCCGCTTTATGGATACAAGTCTAGAAGTTAAAGATAGTAGAGGACTTCGATCTGCATTCGACAATCAACATGTGAAAATACTAATAAAAAAAATACCCAAAAATTGGCAAAATGAAGAAAATCAATACATGGGTTCCACATGAACTAAGTGAAAGTAAAAGAGTACGACATATTGAAACGTGTTCGATGCTGCATCTGCAAAATTCGAATAAACCATTTTTAGATCGAATAGTACCCTGTGATGAGAAATGTATCCTTTATGACAAATTCATACGATAGACTGAATGGTTCGATCCTGACGAAGGACCCCAAAAATTTCTAAAACCTGAATTGCACCAACAGAAGATTATGGTGACTGTCTTGTGGTCCGTCATTGGAATCATCCATTACAGCTTTGAGGAATCTAACGAGTGAATCACTGCCGAAGTCTTCTTTTATTTTCTTTTTGTTTTTAATCACCCCAAGCAAAGCAGGAATGCCACTAGTACGCAGAGGGTGACAGGGAGTGGAAGTGAGAGAAAAGAGTGAGTATAAGGAGGATTGAGGAAAGGACAAAAGATGAACGGGATTCAAGAAGATAGAAGATAGCGATTTACGTTGCGTTTTCATTTTTGAAGATTGTAGTTATCAAGGAAGCAAGTAAATGGAAGGAAATTCCACAGGCGGGAAGTGTGAGAAAAGAAACTGTTGGAGTAGAAGTAGCTAATAAACCTAAATGCCAAATTAGTAGCATGCCTAAATTTATGTAGTCGGGGCACCAATGATAGAAGATCGTCAGTGCCGTTGCCATGAAATTATTTGTAGGATTGACATCGGTGAGAAAGTGTATGAAGTCGAGCTGCCAAGTCTGGATCGATTATATTACAGATCCTTCTTTGGATTTAGTGAAGAACCTCGAGATGAATAGCAGGAGAACTACAAACAACTGGACGAAAGCACATTCAGTTAAGAGACTGATGCTGGTTAATCGACGAAGTCCAATTCATCTTCATGACAATGATAGGCTACATGTCGCTGTGGTGACACTGCAGAAGCTCATCGATTTTGGATAAGACTTTTTGCTACATCAACCATATTCCCCTGGTCTCTCGCTAACTGACTAGTAATTTTTCAAGCATCTTGACGAATATTTAAACCAAAAGACGTTCCGTTAAGAAGATGCAATAACTGCATTCAATGATTTCTTGGCGTTAAAACCTTTAGAGTCTTATCATAAAGACATAAGTAATCATATATGTCCATGGCAGAAATATATAGTAGTTCATGGTTCCTATTTTGACCGATTTAATCGGTGTAAATACATTAACTCAAGAATAAAAGTTGACTCAAAAATCGAACATTATTTTCCAAACAACCTGATAATTTTTCGTTGCCTGTAATCTGTTATTGCACAAAAAGATTCAGCCGAGTGCCGCAATTGACTGACAGGTTAATTATTTATTTATCTTACTTTTCGGTTAACTTCAAAACTCAAATCTAAATATAAAACTTTTTCATAATATTTTAATTTAAGAATATGTTATATCAATTATTATATCGTCTTTTCTCGTGTGTTATATTTTTAAAGAAAATGTCTATCTCGTTAGCGTCTGTTCAGTTCAAATGAAAAGCTTGGGGTGGAAATAGAAAAGTAGCATACAATATACTGTTAATATTTGAGACATGGACGTCGCTTTTACTGATTTAGCTACTGAAATTTAATGACTAATTTCCGACAAATCTATAGCCATATAGCTACAAATTCTGGATGATTATTCTTGTCATTTTATTTGTTTACAATCTGAGAACTGTTTTAACAGATGACGAAAAATGTGACACCGAAATCCGAAGGCACATTTCAATAACGAAAGATGAACTCCAATCACTAAACAAATATTAAGAAACAGGGAATTTTCGTTAGAAAGAGAAAAGTGCTTAACTTCTACGTAATATCCATCTCCCTATATGGCAGTGGCGAATGGAACGTTCCTGATTCGGCGTAGCCGATTCTACAAAGGAATTTTTCGCCAGAGAGACATTATAGTCAAATTACTTGCCTGCCCCCCCCCTCTCTCTCTCTCTCTCTCTCTCTCTCTCTCTCTCGTTAAATTAGTGCTTCGTCCAATTTAAGAAAAAGGGTTGTTGGAAGCAATTTTATATAGATGGATGCCCAAATACGAACTGGGAGGGATAGTAATGGGACAATTTACTTAGTTGTGGAGTGCTATGATCGCCTTATCCAAACGGAGACGACACAAAAATTTGTCTGAATTCTAAGATAAAATATTTTGCTTTTTTAAAATTTTTGAGTACTTGTGCTTTTATTTTATTTTTGCTTTTATCAGAAATGTCGTTACATTTTACGTCCATTAAAACAGTGTGAATCTAAAATAAATTATTAGCACAATCAGAAGCATGTAGGCCATAGTCCATGACTACAGTAGAAAGATTGCCAGGAATAGAATATTGTCGACATTCAGAAGCTTTTCTGTTCGATGAACATTCCACAAGAGTGAGACAGCTGATGACTACTTTCCTATGTTGTAGCAGTTGCTTGTAGCAATACCAACATTGAACAAAACTTGACAGAAAAACAGGGACACAATCAGCAACGCGACGTCTACGAAAACTGAGGAAAACCATAGAACCAAAAAACCTGGGATTCATGAAAAGAGAATTTATTTCATCCTACTTATCAAACTTCCAACTTTAGCCAGTGAAGAACGAAATGCGTGTTACAAGTTTTCCTAATCATAAAACCAGCTGGTCGGCACTGGCAATGGAGTGCCTTCTTACAAGAGAGTAGGGAAAATTTCTCGATCCGACCAACTTGGGTGGCCCAGTAGTATGTTTATGTTTCTGGCATTTATCAAAGGTGCAACACGCTGGGACTACTTCGCCAGATCGACAGCATCAAGAAGTCACCTTCCTGACAAATTGACCACAGTAAGATTCATACTCATGCCGAAAACAAAGAATCGGCGACGCGCTGATACTGATGAGGCACGCTCTCTTCCAGAAATTGTAACTCTAGTCCGCTCAGCATCATTGCAACATAATTCACGGGTAGGCTCTGCGGATGTTGAGCAGACACACATGTACTTTGTACAGGCGTCTGCAATAGGGATTAGCTAGCTACCCTAGCGTTTAGGCATACTCAAGTACGAACGACAAATCACTATATATAATGTGAGTTTGTAAATAGTGACTATTACAGCTGATAATGCAAGACTCTTCGGTAAAGCGAATCGAGTCCTCTCGGTCACTGTGTGTTTATCCAAAAATAAATACGCTTAAAATTCACCTTCGTCCCTGCCGTGTGCCAACGGCTGAGGGGTAAAATCTACGACTGACGCCATTTCAGCCGGGTTTTGACCCTAGCTAGAGGCAACTGGACGTCTAGTCACACTGATGAGCTGTGGTACAGCGAAACAGTGTGTCTGTGGATGAGTATATATATATATATATATATATATATGTGTGTGTGTGTGTGTGTGTGTGTGTATGTATGTATGTTAAGATAAAGCACAAATAGAAAACGTTTATCAGTCTAACACGTTTCGCCTTTATTAAAGTCAGAGATGAGATATGGAGAAAAATCTTCATAGAGTCTTGGAATCTGTTAATTTCTTAAAATTTTCGATGGACGCCTCATCTCTTCGGGGCGGCACAATTTATACTACCGTTGGTTTCTGTTGTGGTAGGATCCACCTAATTTGCATAGTAGAGTACCGACCATATAAATATGGTTGGTACCGGGAAGAGAGGGAGGAATCAAGAGATTCAACCAGAGACTCTGCCCGACTGCGACTCAGTCAACACATTCTCCAGGAACGGTCTTATCAGGAATATACAAAAGACTATATGTAAATATTGTGTACACTTTCTTGTTTCAATACATTTTGTTCTAAGTACATTTTCTGTTGCATTATTATTCCATGCATTAGTCAAGTTTCAACACTATCTATCTAATTATGTTCATCTATCTATCTATCTATCTAATATTGTTCATCATCTATCTATCTATCTATCTATATGTTGTGGTAGGATCCACCTAATTTGCATAGTGGAGTAACGACCATATAAATATGGTTGGTACCGGGAAGAGAGGAAGGAATCAAGAGATTCAACCAGAGACTCTGCCCGACTGCGACTCAGTCAACACATTCTCCAGGAACGGTCTTACCAGGAATATACAAAAGACTATATGTAAATATTGTGTACACTTTCTTGTTTCAATACATTTTGTTCCAAGTACATTTTGTGTTGCATTATTATTCCATGCATTAGTCAAGTTTCAACACTATCTATCTAATTATGTTCATCTATCTATCTATCTATCTATCTAATATTGTTCATCATCTATCTATCTATCTATCTATCTATCTATCTATCTATCTGTTGTGGTAGGATCCACCTAATTTGCATAGTGGAGTACCGACCATATAAATATGGTTGGTACCGGGAAGAGAGGAAGGAATCAAGAGATTCAACCAGAGACTCTGCCCGACTGCGACTCAGTCAACACATTCTCCAGGAACGGTCTTCCCAGGAATATACAAAAGACTATATGTAAATATTGTGTACACTTTCTTGTTTCAATACATTTTGTTCTAAGTACATTTTGTGTTGCATTATTATTCCATGCATTAGTCAAGTTTCAACACTATCTATCTAATTATGTTCATCTATCTATCTATCTATCTATCTAATATTGTTCATCATCTATCTATCTATCTATCTATCTATCTATCTATCTATATGTTGTGGTAGGATCCACCTAATTTGCATAGTGGAGTAACGACCATATAAATATGGTTGGAAGAAAGGGAGGAATCAAGAGATTCAACCAGAGACTCTGCCCGACTGCGACTCAGTCAACACATTCTCCAGGAACGGTCTTACCAGGAATATACAAAAGACTATATGTAAATATTGTGTACACTTTCTTGTTTCAATACATTTTGTTCCAAGTACATTTTGTGTTGCATTATTATTCCATGCATTAGTCAAGTTTCAACACTATCTATCTAATTATGTTCATCTATCTATCTATCTATCTATCTAATATTGTTCATCATCTATCTATCTATCTATCTATCTATCTATCTGTTGTGGTAGGATCCACCTAATTTGCATAGTGGAGTACCGACCATATAAATATGGTTGGTACCAGGGAAGAGAGGAAGGAATCAAGAGATTCAACCAGAGACTCTCTGACTATGACTCAGTCAACACATTCTCCAGGAACGGTCTTCCCAGGAATATACAAAAAGACTATATGTAAATATTGTGTACACTTTTCTTGTTTCAATACATTTTGTTCTAAGTACATTTTGTGTTGCATTATTATTCCATGCATTAGTCAAGTTTCAACACTATCTATCTAATTATGTTCATCTATCTATCTATCTATCTATCTAATATTGTTCATCATCTATCTATCTATCTATCTATCTATCTATCTGTTGTGGTAGGATCCACCTAATTTGCATAGTGGAGTACCGACCATATAAATATGGTTGGTACCGGGAAGAGAGGAAGGAATCAAGAGATTCAACCAGAGACTCTTGACTGCGACTCAGTCAACACATTCTCCAGGAACGGTCTTCCCAGGAAATACAAAAGACTATATGTAAATATTGTGTACACTTTCTTGTTTCAATACATTTTGTTCTAAGTACATTTTGTGTTGCATTATTATTCCATGCATTAGTCAAGTTTCAACACTATCTATCTAATTATGTTCATCTATCTATCTATCTATCTATCTAATATTTTCATCTATCTATCATTCATCTATCATTATCTATCTATCTATCTATATGTTGTGGTAGGATCCACCTAATTTGCATAGGGGAGTAACGACCATATAAATATGGTTGGTACCGGGAAGAGAGGAAGGAATCAAGATTCAACCAGAGTCTTGCGACTCAGTCAACACATTCTCCAGGAACGGTCTTACCAGGAATATCTATTTTGTGTTGCATTATTATTTGCATTAGTCAATGTTCATCTATCTAATTATGTTCATCTATCTATCTATCTATCTATCTATCTATCTATCTATCTATCTATCTATCTAATATTGTTCATCATCTATCTATCTATCTATCTGTTGTGGTAGGATCCACCTAATTTGCATAGTGGAGTAACGACCATATAAATATGGTTGGTACCGGGAAGAGAGGAAGGAATCAAGAGATTCAACCAGAGACTCTGCCCGACTGCGACTCAGTCAACACATTCTCCAGGAACGGTCTTACCAGGAATATACAAAAGACTATATGTAAATATTGTGTACACTTTCTTGTTTCAATACATTTTGTTCTAAGTACATTTTGTGTTGCATTATTATTCCATGCATTAGTCAAGTTTCAACACTATCTATCTAATTATGTTCATCTATTTATCTATCTATCTATCTAATATTGTTCATCATCTATCTATCTATCTATCTATCTATATGTTGTGGTAGGATCCACCTAATTTGCATAGTGGAGTACCGACCATATAAATATGGTTGGTACCGGGAAGAGAGGAAGGAATCAAGAGATTCAACCAGAGACTCTGCCCGACTGCGACTCAGTCAACACATTCTCCAGGAACGGTCTTCCCAGGAATATACAAAAGACTATATGTAAATATTGTGTACACTTTCTTGTTTCAATACATTTTGTTCTAAGTACATTTTGTGTTGCATTATTATTCCATGCATTAGTCAAGTTTCAACAGTTTCAAAGAGTCGAATGCCTCTGCAACATGAATGGCCAATGAAAATCAAACAACACTACAGTAAAAAATATCAGAATTTCTTCCTACATCTTCTCCATATCTCATTCTCTTATTTGTTCTTTTATCTTACCATTCTGTCGATGCTGATCCATATTTGATCCCAACTCATCGTATGTATATTTTAAATCATCGTCGTCACTGTCTTGCTTTGAAAGCATGATCGTTGTTCTAAGTATTTCACTATACTATATCCAGCAGAAAGGCCTCTGATCAGGAGAATTTGAGAATTTTGAGAATCGTAGAACCACCTCTTAATTACAGTAATTCCCAGATTGACTCTGACCCGGGGTAGTAGCACCTATTAAGGTCCAAACTATAATAAAAATAGTTAATTCCCAAAGTGGGATCAAAACACCATGAAAGTATAAAAATGGATTTTTATAGTAAAAATACTAGTAATCCATTAAAAAAATAATATTATCAGCAATGCATTTTGAAAAAAATATTACCAGCAATATATTCTTGAAAAAAATATTACCAGCAATACATTTTTGAAGAAAAATATTAACAGCAATAGATTTTTGAAAATAATTATTACCAGTAATACATTTTTGAAGAAAAAAATATTACCAGCAGTACACTTGACTATCGACAAAAATCCCCTTTACGAACTGATTTCTTACAAAAAATAGATATTCTATTAATACATCCCCTAAAAATCTTGTCGGTATTAAATAACTCATTGAGGTTGATATACCGTAAAACAAAATAAACTAAACCAAATCACTCGTCATTTCTCACTAGGAAAAAGTTCTATTAAATTCTTTTTTCCTTAATATTCAGTTATTAAATATATTGACAGATTACATATAACTTCAATATGCAAATATAACATTTTTTAATAATGTCATAAACATATATTAACCAGTGAATAAACACAGAACTCTTTTGAATTTGGATCCTATAATATAAACTTATATCGGCAAATAATAATCCTTCTGTTAAAAGCATTAAAATGCATTTTAATGAAAGATTAAATTAAGATTTAATAAACAAAGATTAATTTATATGCTTTATAGATCGAAAGGGATGTCTCCAAATTATTAACTGTACAAGAATTACATTTCTTTAAAGCGCAATTTATATTAGAAGTACACACTGAATTTTAAGAAACTTTACACTTGCACATTATTATTCGAGTCTATTAGAGAAAATTCCTAGCAAAATTTCTTCCTTTCTTTTTAAGATTGAAATCACGTCACCTTAACACTGAGCTATCGACCATCTTGAATAATCGCTTTATAGAGTTGTTCTTTTTTATCATTTTGTCACCAAAAATTGGCTATAATAAAATGGCCGTTGGCAATATTCGGTCATACAATAATATATACGAGAATAATATATATATATATATATATATATATATATATATATATATATATATATATTATATTATGTATGTTTCCAACTCGAGCCAATTCATTATCTTTCAAAAAAGTCTAATTTTAATGACTATTACTAATTAAGCAAGAAAAGTGCCAATTAGTGTTATATATTCTCAAAAAAATTGAGACATTTCGAAGATTTATTTTTTATTCTTTCTTATACTTTGTTCCGTTCTGCACACACACATACAGATTTACACACACACATATATAATTACATGTATTTGAGTATGTAGATATATATATATATGTGTGAGCGTGTGTGTATGAATGTATTAATATAGATATTTGCGTACATAAACATATTACTGCTACCAAATATAAACGAACAAATATATAACTCGCTATGAAAGACTATCCATGCGTTGTTGTATTGAGGTGATTGTATATAAAATGTTATGTATACATATATATATATATATATATATATATAGATATATGTTGAGTACTATCATGTATATACATTTGCGTATATATTTTCAAATATGAGAGAGCATATGAGTACATACCTATGCATATATATGCATACATACTCATATATTCTTACATACGCATACATATTAGTAAATGTTATTGATTTGATTGTGACTCCGTGGCTGTTTCTACGCGTGTATATACGTACAGATATTAATTCCAAAATACAAACATAATTATATGTCAGTTGCTTCTATACGTTTGCATACAAATTAATTAAAATTATGTCCACGAACTTCTGTGTATGAATATGTATAAACTCCGTCTCACATGTTTTATCTTTATATAAAATAAATACGTATTTCAATCGAAAGGTTTATTTGTTGAATAAGTGCAATATTTATCAGTGCAGTTCGGAAAAAAAGTGAGTTCGTTCCGCGAAGACATAAGTAAATGTTTACCATTTGTATGGAATATGTCTGGCTTTAGATAAGATCGGCGCGGTTCGGGAAGTTGCTTTAGATATCTCGAAGGCGTTTGATAGTGTTCAACATGCCAGACTTCTTCAATTTTAAGTGTTATGATGTTTCTGGTCGGATATTTTACTTAATCTAAAGGTTCTTTTTTAAACAAATGGGTAATATAGGTCTAGTTGAACGGTCACTGTTCTAGATTATTTCAAATTAATGCATTGGTTTCCGAGTGCCCCCTCCTTGGACCTACATAGTTCCTTAACTTTGTCAAATGACATCACTTCTTAATTAGGTATTTATGCTGACAGCACAATTATTTCCTCCTGTCCTTCATTAGTCACATGGGTTGGTTTGTTACACTAAATTACACGTAATTCATAGTTAGCAACTTTTGCTTCAACCACTACTCCCCTGAACCAGTGAGGGTGTGTAGCACGTGGTGTGGCATAATTGTAGATCAGTTGTCGCGGAAGGCAGGCATTATTTTGTCTCCTTCGAGGTGTCTTACCACCCCACCTGACTAACGAATGTAATTTTTATGATATATATATATATATATATATATATATATATATATATATATATATATATATATATACTATAACAGCAAAATTGTACAAAGATAATATCTAAAAACACTAAACTAGTCGAGTTTCTTTTTTCCAGATTTTCTAATAAGACGTTTAGCCATCTTGACATCATTTGTCGTAAGGACCACTGAAAGACCCTGTGAGTTATTCAACTCGAGGTAGGACAGATTAAAATCGCTTTGTTTCAGCACCAATATGCTTTTCCAAGTAAGCAATGGTGAGAGGAAATGGATCATTCAGGCCTTCAGTCACGGTACCAACAATCATATTTTGGCTTCCATCTTCAAAGTCTACTTAAGAACCACTAAGAGAAAGGTGAATAAGTTTTAATAAGGGGTAACAGTAAAGTGGAAAATTGGATCAAGAGATTGCAACATTAAGATGGATTATAATTCAACTTGGAGCTAAATACATTCTTATTCTTCAAAGTAGAGTCCAATAGGATTATAAAAAACATCGGAGAATTCCAGTAACATAACTTTAATCCTTTCTAAGACACAACGGTTCAAAGCTTAATATAATAATTGGACAATTTTGGTGTTGCACTATATTGGACAATTTTCTGCTAAACCTGATATATATATATATATATATATATATATATATATATAAAACAGCAATATATATATATATATATATATATATATATATATATATATATATATATATATATATATATATATGGTGTATCAAAAATATTTTGCAAACATTGTGGGCTGGTTCCTGACACCGTAACACGGTAAAATGTCTATATAAACATAGGCCGGAAGGCCATCGTTCATGCACCCGTCGGATCATTGACTCGTGGACACTTTCAATTACTCCTATACGGTGTCGAATGATTTCGCAGGCCCCCATGACACGTTAATGAAGCGTTTATATATTATTCATGTCTGCTGCGTAAACTAATTATTTTAGGTGGTCTCACAGATAAAATTCCAAAGAATCGAGGCCGAGGAAACGTGCAGGCTATGGAATCTGTCCTCTCCTACCTGTCCATCTTTCATGGGAGATGTCAGCCAGTTCATCGAGGATAATGTGACTAAAATGTACTCGAGAACCATCATCCATTAATGCGTCTTCGTATTAGCAGGAGTACATACTCTTGAAAGTCAGGAAGTGAGTTCAAAATAAAGTCCCTGTAGAGAGCTCCTGTAAGATTTGCTGAGAGAACATATCGATCTATTAGACAGTCACCTACAATTACAACCCACACATTAATCGTAAACTTATGCTGGTGTCTAGTCTGTATTGTACCATGGGGATTCTGATCCGCCCACAAACATTGGTTGTGTAAATTTATTTCATCTCTTCCAAATATTGCCTCATTCGTAAAAAAGAGTGAAGAGACAAACAATGGATCCGCAAATTGTGCACAAAATAATCGGCAAAAGTTCTTCCATGGAGTGTGATCAGAGGGCGGCGAAAGACCCTGCACACGTTTCAAATGATACGTCTGAAAGATCTTGAAGTATCCTCCTTGATGCACGACATGCTAGGGCCACTGGGTCGTCTCCAAAAGCATGTAGAATAGGTTCTTCGTAGTCAGGCGTACGAGCGGATCTCGATCATCCTTGATTAATAATTTGTGGTCCCAAGGATCCTGTCTCAGCAACGCGACGATAAACAACAGCAAATATTGGAGGACTCGGCTGCTTTCAGTCTAGAAGCGCAACCTGATACAACCGTGCAGCCTTCGTCCATTACCATTGGCGCGGCCATATGTGAAAGTAAAGTAACCTAGTCTCACCTTTATATTTACTAGTTTTATTTCTATTTATATTATAGTGTCTGATTATTTTATCTCTATTTATTTTATAC